TCTGTTTGCATTGCAGCGTCATGTCCTCCTGAGTTGCCTCGATTTCCGTGCACTGCCCCTTCATGACCCCTGAATTGACTTCGTATTACTGGCTTTATGTCCTTCTCATGTCTCATCATTTTGCAATGATGTCCTCGTCATGTCCCCTTCCATTCCTGTCAATTCCCCCTTCATGTCCCTGTCATTTTCTCGGTATGTCCCTTTCTTTCATTGCCAGTCATTTCCCAACGTCTGCCTTTGTGTCCTTTGGTTTCCTTGTCCTTTGTTTGCCTTGCAGTCCCCCCTCACTCCCCCTGTTTTCATTTCTTTCCCCTTCATGTCCCTTTCAGTTCCCCTGCATGTCCTTTTCAGTTCCCGTTCGTTTCCCTTCTTGCTTTCCTGTCATGTCAACTTCCCGTCCCCTGCATGTCCTTGCATTTCCCTTTATTTCCTCCCCTCATTTCCCTGCAATTCCTTGCATTTTCCCTTCGCTCCCCGGTATTTTTCACCAACAAACACGTTTTTCCAACGTTCTCGCAAAAAGGATGTCAAACACACAGTTTTTGCATATTTTCGGCAAAAGGAGGCAGAAAACCCGAACCAGCAAAGAGCCGGCAGGGGGATTCGAGCCTGGGACCCCTGTTTTGAGACACCGGCCCCCCCGAACGTCGAACGGCTCCATATGAAAAAGGGTGGGAGTGTAAACCCCGGAGCCGAGTGAACATTTGAGGCATCAAACCCTCGTGAGCTTCAGTCTAGATACCAGTCCAAGCCATACATGGGTATCACCCTTTGAGTTCTTTACATGCCAGATGGGAGGGTATCAACACGAAGCACATACACACACATACACACGCACGCATTGCGGCTTGCGCATCAGAAGCGGTTTTGAGTATGACTCATTTCGGTTCGACGGGCTTCGCAGTCGGTTTCGGCTTTGAGGCTCCCGCCGATGCGCCCTGCGGGCGCTGCGCAGCGGGGATGTGGGGGAGAAAGGCGCTGAGGCGAGAGAAGTTTGGCGCGGAAGGACTGGAGCGTACCTAGGTCCCCCAGTTGTGCCCTTTTATCAACTTTTTTTGGGGAGAAATGGACTACAGAAAAAAGGGCACCCTTATTCTAAGCTCTCTGCTGAAGGACCTAGGTACCTTTGTTGGGGATTTGTTTAGAGGGAGTTCAAAGGGACGCCCTCCGTTTTGTTTGGGGTCCAAATCCCTATTTTGTGACGCATATCCATGTGGTGCCCTGCAAGCCTTCAATTGTGACCACTGGAAGAGGAAGCCCAGGTTTAGGCAAGGCGTTCCGCTTTTTCTTGTTTTTTTAATGGAAAGGACCTTGGGCATATGGACATATGAAAGGGATACATGTACAGACCCTTTCATGATTTTTGGGATAGATGAATTCATGAAAGGTGTTTTTTCTTGGTATAGACAGGACATGCCGCGGCAAAACCTGGTAGACCCTCTGCCCGAGGATGGGGATGTTGACCATTTCCCTCCCCCCTCACCCCCAGCAACTTGGTGTAGCGAGTCATAGACAAACCCGGGGAAAAAAGAAAGCATGTCTTGACCCACTGCCGGTAGACCATAAGGAGCACTGGTAGCATATGTTATGTATATATGTATACAGTATACATGTATGCAATCTTCAAGGGTTTGAGTCTTACTTGCAAGCTAGATTCCATTTGCCACATTCCTGATGACGCCCTTTCTTTTGTTCCTGTTTGGGTGTCATGTGGAGACCTATTCACGAGGATGCCAAAGGGTCCAATTCGCACCTTTCACGGTCAATAACTACACGAAATTGGATCACGAATCTTTTGCGGTCGACCGAGTCAAAGATCCAAAACAGATGCATGATCGCAACATCAATTACAGTACACGTACCACTCGGAATCTTGGGTTGTCACAACAGTCGCTACTAACGATCTTATCGGTTCGTGTTTTTCATGACAGTCAACAACATAGGCAAATAGACATTGACTTTGCCTCCATGGATCGGCCCGAAGCAATGCCAGAGATGCTTCGTTCCTCGATGCAGATAGAGGGATCTTCCGTGATTGCCGCCACCGCCACTGCCAGCGTCAACGATTCGGTTCGAATATTTGCCATTGTGGAATCCAACGATCGAAGCATCCACAAGTCGTATCTAGCCGCGTGGCGTTTGCTAGATGATACTCCTCCAGCGACGACTTTGGTAAGCCATGCGGAGGATACGTTGATGGCCTTTCAAGAGATTCCTGAGGCATCCTACATTACCTGTCAAGACATCGTTGTCAGAGACGACTTGATTTTCATCTTTGGGAAGGCTTCGCAACTGATTCGACAAGTGACGCTAGTGCCCTTTTTGGATTCAGACGCTGGAGACGACGATTTGGAAACCAGCTACCCGCTCGTTTCCAGTGTCTGGAACGACCGTCTTCCATCCGAACGTTTTGTCTTTCAGACTTTGGTGGCAAGTCCCCCCGAAGGCCATTGGATATGTTTGAAAGGAAGTCTCGAAGCGTTTGCAGAGTGCATGGCTCCGATGTCCCCTCGACCAGAATCCGAACGCAACCAAATTCAACAAGATTTCGATTCGGACAACGAAGACGATCCACCCGAAGACTGGTTTTATCAGTTTGACGACCGTGGTGCTGGCTTTCTCCATCCTGAAGCTGTAACACCTCTTTGCTCAGAACAACCTGTTCCAGGAGGGTGGAGTAAGGTCCAACCCACCCACACCCTCTTCGTGGCCGACTATCACTGTCTCCGACGATTCCAAGTCTATCGTTCCCATGCCGGTGACAAAGACCACGAATCTTCGAAAAGGATCCAACTCTGGCACGAAGGAACCTATCGCTGTGCTGGGAACTACGGAGGAAGCATTCATGATTGGTTGGTAGATACTACTCAAGGTGTTGTGTACACGGCCGACGAAAAACGGATTCAAAAGTTTGCCATGAATTTCGGGGACGCTCCTGTTGACAGTGTCAGTAGCGGATGGGTCAATCGCCTGGTGTGGATCGATCCAGGAGTACAAGTCTTGGTCGAAGTCGGCGGTTGTATGAATTCCTCTTTACAACTGCTGGATTGCCGTAGCATGACCTTTACGCACCGTGTGAAACAAACCCAATCCTTTTCCTATGCTACGATCCAAACGCTCCACTCTAACAGATCTCACCCACTGCTCATCATGGGCCTACAAGACTCCCAAGTGGCGATTGCAGAGCTGGTTTCGTCCACAGTTGGAGATGGCAGTGACGAGAGTTCGTATGAGCTTGTGAATCGGCTTCTCCTGGAGCCAACCTTGCCACCTTGCACGCAGGGAAACTACCGCTTATCTTCAAACCTTGACATGGGTCGGTGGCTCGCATACTCTCGAAGAGAAGGTATATTTTGTTTTGCTGCAGAGCGATCGTCTCCTAGGTCGACGGCAATAGAGTAAGAAAATGCGTTTCTAAGCTACTCCGGCGCCGTCCGCCGTATGGGTTTGTTTTGACATCAGGGAAACCCCAAGATGTGTGGCTTTTGGTTTCTCTCGGGGCACCAACCAAACAGAACCAGGGTTTCATTGGCCCAAGCCACCCCAACGCAGGAGCCCCTCCCATCCTCCCCCCCAACAGCGGTGAAACACACCCACCCGGGCCACAGCACCGGCGGCGAGGCCTACTTCCCCGAGACGGAGTTCCAAGAGACGGCCTCCCAGAACTCCGTGGCCTGCGAGCCCGCCATGCGGATAGGCGCGAAAGTCGACCGCCTGAGGGCCCCCCTGGCAGGAAGGGGTGGGGGGGAGGGACCCGGGCCCCACGGGTTGGATTCGGTTCGGATGGTCCGTGGTCATGGGGAGAAGGTATTTTCCAGTTCGGACCCTTGCGTGTCTCAAAAACACCCCTCCTTTGAGACGGAGGGAATCTGAAGGAAAAGGATCAAACATTGTAGTTTTGACCGGGTTTTACTTCTTGGCTGGCCTGGCAACGTCTGCATGGCTATCAGGGCAGCAGACGTGATTTGTTGTGACAAACGGAATGGGAAGTGACACTGAAACACGAGCCAGTTTTCCTTCCATGTCCAATATTGAACCATGATTCTGCTTTTGCCAAGTAGTCATTCGCTTGACAGACGCGGGCAGCTTGGTGCCGAAAGAGGAAAAGCTGGAAGCGCGTGGCACGTCAGGCCATGGCTATGACATCCACAAGATGCTGCCGCGCGACGATCCGGAGGCACATGCCCTTTGCGCTGCACGGTTCACTCAAGGGGTGCTGAGGTTTGGCTTATGTGTCCCGGAGGTTTTGCCGCACTCAAAAGACTTGGTGCGTTCCGCCTATCGGTATTCATACTATGCATCGTTTGTTGAATCATTTGTTAATTCATACAAGTCAAATGAATACATGCCTAGATCAAACCAATCGAAAACTGACTAGTTGATTTTTATTGGTACAGGTAGAACAACACGTGTTCCAAGTCATTTTGAAGAAAACGCAGCAGTTCCTACTCATTTTGCCTTTACCTTTTACACGTTAAATCAGAGAAGCGAAGCCTCAGCTCGTTGGGTCAGGGCTGGGGCAAGTGCACCCCGCAGCCGGCGGTCATTGGGGGAGTCACCTTTGAGGCCCGTCACATCCGAGGTTTGGATCGATCGCTGGCTTCTCACGTCCTGAGTTGGACTTTTTCTACTTTTTGGAAAGACCATTTTAGTGGTAAACAAAAGGTTAGGACCTTTTTCTGAGCAATCCACTCAGGAAGTGAGTATGCGTTTTTCGTGGTTGTTGGTGGTGGGGGTGGGTTTTAAGGCTTTGGAGGTTTCTCAGGTTGTTTTGGTTGAATTTTAGCGTTTTCTTTTTTTTTTTGAATAGATTGGGCAGGTGTTATTCCTGTCTGGTGTGTTTGTTTTTAGCATTGCCCTTTGGGGAGGTCCCTATTTTGACCCAGATACGCAATCAAGATGCACGGCTGTCCATTTCGTAGGTTGAAAGTAGACGGGACCGCTGTTTTTGCTTGTTGAAACTTATACTCCCACCTCAAAGCAGCTAACACACTTAGAAC